GGATGGATGGATGGATGGATGGATGGATGGATGGATGGATCCCTCAATGGAATATATACTAGTTAGTCCCAGTGACCGTTTCAGTCATGGTTTTTGCCCATGTGCTTTCTGGGTAAAAATCAATTGAGAAACACGCACCCCAATTACACTTAGGCTGATTGTATTCATTCTACTTTGGTAACTTCTGAAGCCAGTTGTTTGAAGTGGATTTTATTCATCAGAAAAAGGGGACGTTAAACATAAATATATGTCAGCCCTTTCCTCATAAATATCCTGTATCATTTTACTTGCACTTAATAATTATGCAGTATCTTTATATTGTTCTATTACAGAAAAAGTTTGTGATTTTAACATGACAACATGTGAATAAAACGTCAGGGTGTCTTTGAAAGGCACTGTAGACTGGGCCAACTGACTGAATTTCATCCTCTGTTTAACATTTGCTGCTCTATCCAGAGATATTTCTGAATTTACATGACCACATTTTGAGACATATAGGTCATCACACAACTATGTTTTAAAGTTTCATTATAACTCAACTTCTCTAAACCTGCCTGGAGTTTTATATGCTGTGGAAAATTGGCTTCTTAATCCATTGAATTCTCATGAGATCTTTAGTAGGAAAAGTATAAAAGAGCCTAACACTCGGTTTAAGTGAGAGAAAAATTAGAGTGTGAACACATAGGAAAAAAAAAAAAAAGTGGGGCAGAGGGGACATTACACATAGAACCAACATTTCCTATCTGTGTGACAGAGCCGAACAACAGAGAAAGCAAAGATCTTCCAAGTTGTTTCCTCGGAAAGTAATTGAACTTGGATGGGATTATGAAGCCAGCTGGTCCCGGGCAGTTCAAAGCTGCCTGTTTTACATTATTTACCAACATCAAATTATTTTCCATAATTAGATTTTTTCCAGAACTGCAATGGGAATCCTTCCAGCCTGCATGAAGTTGAATAAATGTATTACATGCTGAAAAGAGGAGGGTCAGTTTTGTGTGAAAAGTGTACACTCTGTAACAGAGTGGAGCTGCTGCTTGTTATGAAGCTGTTTTGTTTTTGTTTTTGTCTCGACAGTTTTGAAAACACACAGATCACGTGAATTATATATTTTATTTGTTCCTTTACACGTTTCCTCATCTTGCATGCTGGTATGGTTTTGTTATAAAATATTTTACATCAATATGTCGTTTAGCAATTAAAAAAAGTACTAGTGGTGTTAAAAATATTGATGTCCTGCAAGTACAAATTTGCATCATACTGGAGCTAACAATCAGATAAAAGATAATAAAATTAAAACTTTTAAGTTCTCTAAAATTTGAGCCTGTATGACCTACACAGAGCAGATTCTTCACATGGTGAATAAAAGTGGCTTGTCTGTTAAGTAGCTAGGTCTTCTAGTCATTGGCTAGGTCACCAAACAGAAGACCTGACTAATTAGTTAGTGAATATTAACTGGTTGTTAATATTCAACCAGTTAATATCATTAACATAATTAGCATCTTAAGATGACATAATGGCAGTGTAATAGTCTCACAATGATAATAGAAACAAAGGAACATCAAAAACAGACTTTTCCAGATTTTTAACAGATGAGGTCAAATATCTTGGACATTACCTCACTAGTGATCTCTCTGACAATAGAGACTCCGAGAGGCAGTGATGCAAACTTTACAGGCAGACAAATGTATCCCCATAAGTTTTACATGTGCTCCAGAAATGTTAAAATTGCTTTGTTCAAAACTTTTTGCTCACCTTCATATGCAGTCCATCTTTGGCGCAACTATAAAAACAACAGCATTCAGGGTTCGACAGTGCCACACAATTCTTCTTTGAGAATATTCTTGAGACTCCCAAGGCACAGTAGTGCGAGTGAGATGTGTTTGCGAACTGAGGTGTTAGATCTGTGTAGCTGATATCAGGCATTGTGTCTACACACTTCTGTGTAGAGTCATGAATCAGCACAACTGCATTATACAAGTCCTGGTCTGTCCTAAGATTACCTGAGATAAGTATAACTCTAAAATGTGGATGCACTAGCGCTCCTGCCTGTTTTTTTTTTTTTGTTTGTTTGTTTGTTTGTTTGTTTTTTTTGATGAGGTACCCATAAGGGCAGAACTTCGACTCGGCAGGAAATTTAATGTTGTTGATTGTTGAGTCAATGTTGCATGACTGTGTTTTTGTGTTTAATGATGCAAAGCACTTTGAAATGCCTTGCTCCTGAAATGTGCTAAACAAATAAAATTTGACTGATTGATTGATATGTCTAAATAATCTGTGACGTAACCTTTTTATTATTAGCATTATATCTTTATTTTCCCCTTTTTATTTCTACAAAATAAAAATAAAAATGCACAAAACTCTGTGCATTTATTAAAGCTCGAATGGATATACGAGTGAAAAATAAGCATGTTTATTTTTAAAATTGAACTTGAGAATCTTACACTGACAAAGTGCAGGCAGACTGTGAAATACTAAACCCTAACTGCCTTAATTTATTCATTCATTTTTTGTGTTTTTGCAGAAGCTAAATTTAGTGGAGAGTGCTACATTGCATATACAGTTATTAAAATGTAGGTATTTAGGTTGGAAAATTTCTGAAATTAGACATACATGCTCATAACTCCTAACATACACCATGTAATGACATGAATGACACAAATTATCCCTTTATTATGGGACTTGCCATGCAGAGAGGGGTCATATGTTTGGCAGCAACTTTTAATTTAGTCTTTAAAGTTTATACGCAAACACATCCCTGGGCAAGTTTAAGGACTTTAGTAAGTAGGACAAGTAGGTGGTTCTGTAAGGGTTGGTATCTCTCAAAAGTCCAAGGAAGTAGAAGAGGTGAACCAGCGACAGGGTCAAGGGCTTAACAATACACATGGGGAGCAAAGCCCAGATTGCTGGTTCTGATAAAATGATATCATAATACAAACTCAACTGCAACTGTGAGTTATGGCTAATTGGCAGTGGATGTAGGATATCTGGGTGAAATTCAGTGAATGCTCTGGACGAACCCACCCGTATCATAAGGACAGCTTTCCTGATGTCACGGACGCCGTCGTAGACCAAACGAGATGCATCAATGAATTCGTTCTCCTCAAAGGGCTGTGGGGGATTTGTGCTCAGCGCCTCGATCGCTACTTCCACCTGTTCAGCAAAACGTGGCATCACTGCAGAAGAAAAAGGCAAAAGGAAATGTGGTAATTGTCATCTGCTTCTTTGAATTATAACAAAAGTGCTTATAAGTAAGCGCCTTCATAAGTAAAACTATTCCTTTCAAAAACAGCTCGGTGCCTGGTCTCATAGTGTAATTGTGTGCATCTATGACTAAATAGAGAGATAAGTATGTGAGCTAATGTGAGGGTCCAGGCTGTCAAATCATAATGTCAGTGAAAGGAAACATTCATCAAAGTCCTTTTGAGCCAAACAAAAGCCCTAAAAAAAACCCTATTGACCACAAAAAGGGCTGGTTTTGTTCTGAGCATAAACTGCTGGGAGTTGATGGAGGAGCTTTATGCTCTTTGTGTGTTTCTGCTGAATTGTGATGAAACTGAATTGTGATGAAGCACTTAATATTCAGGAATATTGACTTTATGTTTCAATATTTAGCAGGCCGCCTTTCTATAAGATCTTCTGGCGAGATTAATAATTGTGAGGCAGAAAAAACTAATCATAACATTAGCAGCCATTTACAGAGGTAGACGGTAATCAGACAGGAAAGATTCTCACATATTCTTTACAACCGAGGGCTTTTTCAAACTATAAATGCTTGCAACAGCAATACAAACTTTAAATGTGATTCTAGTGTACATGTAATTTGTTATGAAATCCTCATTCTGCACATATTTCAGTACAAAAATGACAAGGAAGGATGGAGAAAAAACAGCTCATTTTGTGAAAAAAAAAAAAAAAGATTTATTGTTTACTTCGAAAAAATAAGCAGCAAATATGTATGATTAAAGATTGATTTAGCTTTCCAAGAGCGAATACCTGGATTGATTTAAAAGAACATCGCTTTTGGAGGGAAAAACAAATTTAATGAGGACAGATGGATGATAAAAAGGAAAATATGGGGAAAGAGCAATAAGGTACTGCAGCTTGGCTTGTGGACTCTCACCTAAAAGCCAACTGTGTGGTTTCATTATTATGCTCCACATTATCCTGCTCACTTACATACAAAGCAAGCAAGATCAATTTCCCCACTTGCACTAAAGGTGTATCCGCAATGTACCTATTTGTTTGATGTAAAATATACTCTATATTTCACTAAACATAAAAAGCAATACAAAAAAAAAATCTGTGCCTTTTTCTTTTCACTTTTAATTCAGTTTAATCCACTTACTGCAGAAGCGTAAAATAGGCTTTTGGGAATTGCTGGGAAGGCGATTTAAATAGAAATATTTAAATGTTCTCCGAGCTCTTAATGAGCAAAGTTGCTGGTAAGAAGCAATTTCACTCATTCCAGTTGAAAAATGATGAAGGGAATTAAATGTGACCGTGTAGAAATGGATTTTTTTCACCCGCCAGGCTTAAATGTAGTTAAACTGAGAAGTTATGGAAGTACAATGAGTGCGTGAAAACTTCAAAGCAGAGGCCATATGCCCTGGTGACGTGCTTAACGAGATGTACGGAGCACAGTCTCAACCTTTTTTGATGCATAAACCTTAATTTCACATCCAAAAAGCCCAATTTAAACACAATATTATGACGGCTAAAAGCAAATAATGTTACAAATGAAGCTAAGAGACGAGCAATAATCTGTAATATACGGGCCGGTTCAAAATCTTCCCAAAAACGAATGACTAAGTTGTGTTAAATTGGATATGTTGAGTAGTTGCGAATTGTGGCTATATCATCAAACTGAATCAAATTAAATCGCAATATTCAAGTTACTCTCTTTTTTTTATAAAACTACTTTAAGGGTAGAACATTGTAAATGATAAGACTTAAGGTGATGGATTTTCTTTGGCTGAATCTTACATGAAATATTTGTGTTGCTAAGGGATTTCTTGAATGTTGTGACGAATGACAAAAAAATTTACTTTAGACTTAACTAAAGTCTGCACACGTCTGCGCAAAGAAAAATACTTAAGATCGTGTACATGTACTCTGTGTCACACAGTAAACTGCTTGGCAGGAAACAGTGTTCACATCAGACTGCTTTGAATGCAACACCAAGCTGATAAGGCTGGGAGTCATGCAACCAGTAGCAAGGACGCGCATCAGTCAAACCGCCACTTTGTGCAGCACTTACAGTCATGCTGGCGGAAAAGAAGGCGCCCAAATGGCTCATAAAACTTACTCGTATCCACTGGGATTGTGGGAAATAAAGGGATTTGTCATGAAAAATGTAGGCAATCGATACTTTCGACTATGAAATGTCAACCATTTCATAGTCTCCTTGCCTCATACAATATGCACAGTAGGTGTGACTACGAGGGAGACTTAAGAGTGTTTTGACTTATCAATGGTAGTACAATGGGTTACGAAAATACAGGAATAACACAAATATAAGACTGTAAGAACAATACAAATACAAGACTTAGTTTTGTACCACCCTGCCAGTGGATTTGCCTAAGTTGGTATGAAATGTTACATCTGAAGCAGAACATGTATGAATCTGTGTCTGCAATGAGCAGTAAATAATTTGAAGGGATTCTGGTGGCCCCTGTGGTCCACAGCTGCTGCATACTTTGTTAAAAGCTTCCTGTTAACTTCAATAATTCCCTGCAGCCATCTGAAGACAGCAGGACCCATTTGTTGACAAATCTACATCGTCTAAAATGAAAAGAACGGCCCCAGAGCTCTTTGCCATTACACAAGACCATCTACTGTGTTTACCTTTTCTCAAATTTCTTGCAAATCACTGCTGGCTCTCATTCCATTTAGTACTTAAGGCATAAATGTGTCACATTATAGGATTGTTTTAGCTGTTTTTTTGAGTAGAAAAGCCTTTGAGAAAGCAGGACCTATGTGACTATACAAACCAAGATGCGTTTTGAAGTAGTTGTATCTTCATAGCAGAGCATTTTCTTCCAGTTGCACGTGCCTTACAATATCACAAAAAACATGGTTTACTTGAGAAGATTCTCTATATTTCAGAAGCTTTTGCCATTATGCATCAGTGCGGTTGGCACAGATGTTACAGGGCAATAATATTAAGGATGTGACTCATCTGCAGTATGAGACTGTTTGCACAGTTTGGTTTCTGGTATCTTTATAATTTACAAATTCAACGATTAAAAACTCCCCATCTCTAACGACAGTGTAGCGATGTCTTTATTAGCCTAATGAGCACATCCGCTTCCAAATCTGCTGAATGTCAAACCCAAACAGGAAATCCAGGCACGTGAATCTCAGATTTGCCTCAACAGAAGTCAATCGGGAAATGTCATGGGACCGCCCTCCCAATCAGATAGCCAGAAATAATCTGCAAGACAGGAAAAACAAAAACTCCCATACAGTGAAGCTGGACAGGAGAGGAAAGAGCATAGGAAGTGTTGAACACTTAAACTGTTGTAACAAATGTGGCCACAGGGCTTACAACAGCAGTTTACAATTTATCTAAGCCTGTAGGAAACAGTTTGCCGTCATTAGCTTCCTTTACTGTGCTCACATTAAAGTCCAGCCAGAACAACTCTTCCCTCATTTGCTGCCTGTATCGTTTTACTGTGGAGTCATAAAACATGAAAAAAGTACACAAAAGCAGAAATCATTTCCAAGTATTATCCAGAGATCGATCCTACCTTAATTATCAATCTGGCTATACATTGCGTTTGACTTTTACAGAGGATAACTGTGATAGCTAACTTGTTCGTCATGTGATAACATTTTATTAATCCAGTTGAAAATAGTGAGCGGAGTGCATTATAGTGAATCCAGAATAGCTCCAGATATGACTGATGTATACACCTCTGAGAAGAAGAAGGGTGGTTCGTGGGGTGAGAGAAAATTGCTGAAGAAATGTATCTGGTTCTAAAAATGTATCAGGAAGGCATAAGAATACTCAATGCAGATTGACGTGTATTGAACTGTATAGCAGCAGAACGGCAAAGGTGGAAATTGTATTCTCAGACGGCTTTAGCTCCTTTTTTTTTTTTGGCAGAATAATACTCCCTGCTGCAAATCAAAAATAGTTCAGGAATTGCTTGAGGAGCAGAACAATGAGTTTGAGGTGTTGACCTGACCTCTAAATTCCCCAGATCTCAGTCCAATCAACCATTTGTTATTATCTGTGGGACAAACAAGTCAAACCACAGAGGCAGCACCTTGCAACTCACAGGAGTTAAAAGATCTGTGACTAATGTTTGGTCCCAGATACCACAAAGCACCTTTAGGGTTCTAATGCCGGGTCCCCAACGCCCAGGGTGTATTGATGTCAGGCTACTTGGTAAAACAATAAATATATACAGTAATTTCCACCGTATGATGAACAGAGTGGCTTTAGTTTGAAACTAGCAAGCATCAATTTGTTTCTGTTGGTTTGATTGGCAAGTAACAAGATAGGCAGTCAAAGGGAGCAGGGAGAAAAGCATGTGAGCCACATGGATGAATCAGTTTATAGGCTGACCCAGAGGAGAGTTGTTTATTTTGTGCTAATACAGTTAATTCCCTTCCTACTCCAGCACACCAAAAATTACATTAGAGAGCAAGTCTGATGTGTGTGCAAAACGTGGAGGACCCTTGGTCCAGTGGAAAGTGTTTTGCCATTTTTTCCCCCCACAGGCATGGAAATGGAATAAAAATTTGGCAGTTATACGGCATTGTAAAATACAAAAAACAAAAAACAACAACTTCCAGATCTTGATCTTTTCTGCTTCATGCCTCTCAAGCGGCAAGAGAAGCCAACTCGGATTCTGCAAAACCAGTATGCTGTTTTGCTCTCTGCACACCACAATCACAAAAATGTGTCATTTTTCATTTGAATCTTTGACCTAACAGCTCCAAAGACCTTCGGTCTAACCACAAACCTCATGCTTATGTAACACTGACTGGGTGAAAACTAACAAAAATCCTCCTTTCGGTCTCTATCTGGTCTTCTCTCCCACAGTGTAATCTTGGTTAAAATGTTTTTGCAACATTCTCATTCTGCCCCGCTCGTCTCATAGTAATTTCCTCATCAGCGCTCTCTTCTAACTCCCGCCTCTATTTACACACTGATTAAGGGACC